ACAACTTGTTGCTTCCAATCAATTTTTTTTTAAGCTTGCTTTAATCAGTTTCCCTTTTGTTAATCTGCTCGCTCATGTTTGCTCCAAGGATGCTTTGGTTCAAATAATACGAGCTCTGCTGCCCCCTAGTGGATCATCTGAGGAACATAAAAAATATACACTGACAGGCCACTTTATTAGGTACACCTGTCCAACTGCTCGTTAACACTTAATTTCTAAGCAGCCAATCACATGGCGGCAACTCAGTGCATTTAGGCATGTAGACATGGTCAAGACAATCTCCTGCAGTTCAAACCGAGCATCAGTATGGGGAAGAAAGGCGATTTGAGTGACTTTGAACGTGGCATGATTGTTGGTGCCAGAAGGGCTGGTCTGAATATTTCAGAAACTGCTGATCTACTGGGATTTCCACGCACAACCATCTCTAGGGTTTACAGAGAATGGTCCGAAAAAGAAAAAACATCCAGTGAGCGTCAGTTCTGTGGGCAGAAATGCCTTGTTGATGCCAGAGGTCAGAGGAGAATGGCCAGACTGGTTCAAGCTGATAGAAGGGCAACAGTGACTCAAATAACCACCCGTTACAACCAAGGTGGGCAGAAGAGCATCTCTGAACGCACAGTACGTTGAACTTTGAGGCAGATGGGCTACAGCAGCAGAAGACCACACCGGGTGCCACTCCTTTCAGCTAAGAACAGGAAACTGAGGCTACAATTTGCACAAGCTCATCGAAATTGGACAATAGAAGATTGGAAAAACGTTGCCTGGTCTGATGAGTCTCGATTTCTGCTGCGACATTCGGATGGTAGGGTCAGAATTTGGCGTCTACAACATGAAAGCATGGTTCAGGCTGCTGGTGGTGGTGTCATGGTGTGGGGAATTTTTTCTTGGCACTCTTTGGGCCCCTTGGTAGCAATTGAGCATCGTTGCAACGCCACAGCCTACCTGAGTATTGTTGCTGACCATGTCCATCCCTTTATGACCACTATGTACCCAACTTCTGATGGCTACTTTCAGCAGGATAATGCGCCATGTCATAAAGCTGGAATCATCTCAGACTGGTTTCTTGAACATGACAATGAGTTCACTGTCCTCAAATGGCCTCCACAGTCACCAGATCTCAATCCAATAGAGCATCTTTGGGATGTGGCGGCAACTGTGTGATGCCATCATGTCAATATGGACCAAACTCCCTGAGGAATGCTTCCAGCACCTTGTTGAATCTATGCCACGAAGAATTGAGGCAGTTCTGAAGGCAAAAGGGGGTCCAACCCGTTACTAGCTTGGGGTACCTAATAAAGTGGCCAGTGAGTGTATATAATTCATGAACATCATCCAGCCCTATTACCTTCAGAAGTCTTCCAATAAAATGCCCATTTGTATTTTCCCCCTTTTACTCTGTTTAGTCCGTTGTTTTTTAGTAGTTGGCACTGAAAGGTCAGTCGCAGATTGCAAAGACGAGACATTCTTCTATTTGTCAACAGATTTTTAGACGTAATATTGCCTTCATTAGATAAAGGCCATATTTAATTTATTAAAGTTTGTTCTTATAAAGAAAAAAATCATGCTCCAAGGTGAACCTCAGTCCAGTTTTAAATGTCAGATTTTCTTGTATGATTCTCCTGTATTTTGCTCCATTCATCTTCCCGTCTAATCCAGTGTTTCTTAGCTTCTCACCACTCAGCATTTGCTGTTAAATCCACGTAAGCACCTTCTGCCACGAGTTCCCTGGGAACTCCTATACCTTTATTTTAACACAGGTTTCCTTATTCTGACAGTGAAAAACTCACATATAACCTCACATATAAACAGTAGTGTATAGGATTTCCTGAAAGCGCGCACATGCGCGTTCACGACGCTACGGAAGCCGGCAGACCAAACCAGATGAAAGTGCGCATTCAGCGTCTGCTCTGCCGATAATGCAAGCGTAGAAGAAGAAATGTGCTGTTTACCTGTGCAAAGAAAGAAACAACGAAGGAAAAATGTCTGAGGACTTCAGTGTTGAGGAAGAGCATGAGTTCTTTGCCGAGCTGAATGCGCACTTTCATCTGGTTTGGTCTGCCACGGTTTCCGTAGGCTCGTGAACGAGCTTTTAGGAAATCCTATACACTACTGTTTATGCTCTAAAAACATTCTAAATGACTTCGTTTCGAGTAAATTCTGGATGCTACCCACTCAGGACACTTGGAATACATTGGACGAGCAGTATGGAGGAATATTGAAACGTTTTTTGTTGACTTTTATGGACCTTTCTGCCTCGGACACCATAGACCTCCATTATTTGAATGTCAGCAGACAGCAAGAAGCCTCCCAGATCTCCAGATGCATTTGAGATATCAAAAAAGTACTCCAGAGTGTTGTTCAGCATGGGGGTGAGTAGAAAATGAAGGCTAATCATGTTTTGGGTGTACTATTCCTTTAAATAGAAGTCATTAGTGTGACAAAAAAACAAAGTTTTATATTAGGATGAAATGACTAAATTTACAGGCAAAACTTCTTTTTTTCCCGACGCATCAGCTGGTATTACTGTCACCCAGGGGTGGATCTAGGATTCTAGGAGGTCAGGGGCTTAGCCCTGGGGGTGAAGGTGAGAGTGTAGACTTCCTGGTAAATCCCATTCAGATGTAAAATATGACAGATTACTGGATTAAAGAAATTTCAGGCATACAACATGCTATCACACATATTTCCTAAAATATGGGAGGAGGATAGAATGGATATTTCAGCAGCCTGAAACAATCCATTCCCCCTCCACAACATGGGAAGAAATTAATTCACCTGCAAGTCTTCAACTGTGTTTATTCCTCTCTTCATCAACAACAGATCCTGTGGATTTTGTGACATTTGATCATTATTTGCCAGAGTTATGAGATGGGAATCTTTTATTTTAGCCACCTTCACTGAGCTAAGCTAAAGTGGCAGCAACGAGAGGGAAACACTTCTGCTTCTGCATGCTGCCACTCTCTGGTGAATTCCAGTACTGCACATTTTACTCAGATCAGCTTAGAAGCTTAGATCCGGGGCTGTAGCCCAAGTAGCAACCCCCTAGATCCGCCACTGCTGTCGCCTACTGGAAGAAGCAAAAGCAAAAGCAAACTTCAAAATTCAATTTGGTCAAGCCTAATGCCTTCATCCATCCATTATCAGGACAACAAAGGGCATGGGTAGTTCTAATAGTTTTTTTTAAATAATTAATTAATCACATTTTTATTTATTGAATATCTAATAAATAGATAAATGCCACATCTGCTTGTTTTAGGGACATTTATTGTTTCATTATATATTTTTGCACTCAATTAACAGGGTTTACGAATGATTGAACTATTTAATGACCCCCAGCTTGGCGGCACAGGACTCCCAGGGGACCCCTACCCTCACTTTGAGACCCCCCCACCCCATGGCATAGTGTTCTAGAGATAAATGAGGAATTGTTTAATCTGTAAAACAATGGGAGATTGCTTTTAATTTACTTTAATGAGAAGGAATCCTGTGTTTTTAGTTTTTATTTATAACATTAGCTTGATTCTCTGTCAAATTTAGCTTCATATAAAAGTGCCTCATAGTTCTTTGTAGAGCACTCAGTGAAATATTTTCACATGTAAAATTTCAAGTCAAGAACGTTATCGGAGAACAGAATAAGTCTTAACTTTTTAACAACAACAAAAAAGGATTTTAATGGCAAAAATGAAGGTTAGTTTAATTACCAATAACAGTCACCTGCCCTGATATATTAAAAAGAAGTGCTTTTATTAGAAATGTGTGAAAATCTTTTACAGAAATTTGTTTTTTTGTTGAAACCACATAACCCTCCGATCATTTATACTGATTCAGGACCTTAGACTTGTGAACTTTCTTACTCATCACTACATTATTATTTTACTTTTTCACTTAATTTACCGTAAACATAAAACAAACACTAGACAACATTAGATTCCTGATGTTATTTTATGATGCAGCTTTATGAAGAGTGGCGGCCTAGCGGTTAGGACATAGAGCTTTGAATCCTGAGGTTGTTAGTCCAAAACCCACTCCCACAGACTGCCACTCTGGCTCTCTGAGCAACATGCTTAACCCCCAGGAGGCAGCCCACTGCTCCCCATGGGATGGGTTAAATCCAGAGGTACATTTCTCCAATATGAGATCAATAAAGTTCAATTATTATTATACTCAGATTTTAAAAAAGAGGTGGACCTTGTAGATCACATTTGACCTCACAAATTTACCTTCAAACATAAATGTCTTTTAAATGTCACAATTAGTCAAATAAAGTAGCCTAATAATTATTGATTCTAGCTGCTGAATTGATTTAAATATAGTTTTTTTTAGTAATTGTGCAAAATATCAACATTCTTGAGGCACATTTTCTTTCTTTGTAGATCAAATATATAATTATAAAACAGTTTCTAGTTTTTGAACCTACGGAAGAGGATTAGGACCACTGGAAAAAAAAAAAAGTTTACTGATTTTAAAATTTTATTTCAATTTAGTATGGGAACAAAGACAGAATTCTGACTTTTTTCTCAGAATTCTGACTTTAATCTCAGAATTTGGGATTTTAATGTAGATGAGCACCATGAAGGAAGAGATGTGGGAGCAATCAGCTTCACTGACAAAGATGTGAGTTGTTTTAGAGGGCCGGTAACACATTGGTGGAAAATGACGGAATTAGGCAACTTTTTACGTGCCCGAGGGGTCCCCTCCTTAATAGAGGAGCAGAAGGTCATTAAAACAAGAGAGCTAGTCTCTAAAACAGACATGGCTATGGCTTGATGCTAACATGTTTGTTATCTGTCAGAATTCTGAGAAAAAAGTCAGAATTCTGAGATTAAAGTCAGAATTCTGACTTTTTTCCAATACTAAACTTAAAAAAAAATTAAAAAATCAGTTAACTTTTTTTTTCCAGTGGCCCTATTCCTCTTCCCTATGAACCTGCACTTTTTTTCCAGAAGAAAAACAATAAAATGTCTGCAGTGCCAGTTTCCTTACACCAGGGAGCGCTGTTTCCGCTGACTCCGCTGCCACGGAATCCGGAAGCGTTTCCGACTCAGCAGCGGCTCTTCATTCAGGCTGCTGCGCTGGTAGATTTGCTTTCCTTCAGACCCTCTTCGGTATCTGGCTGTCGATCTGTTGGCGTTTAGGTCGGCAAACGGATCGGAACCATGGCAAGTCGGCTCCCGGCTTGTGTTGTTGACTGTGGTACCGGGTAAGTTAGCCTGTTAGCCTGCTTCCATTAAGCCGCTGTCAAACTTCCAGCTAACGCCCTGAAAGCTGCCCGCAACGGCGCTCTGGCTTCCTTCCTACTAAATATTCTCTATCTCACTCTTTAGCTCGGAGGTTTAAGGGAAATGTGAGCAGACTGGAGAATCCAAATGATTCTAATTTTTGCATTTATAGTAGGGATTAGCTGCTGCTAGCTGCTGGAGCTAAAGTCACTTCCTGGAGAATCCTCCCATTAGACAGCTCTCTTACCTGGGGTCTTTTTCTCCAAACTGTCAGGGATCAGACCTGGTTCTTTGGCTTATATCATTGGTATATACGCAGGAAAGTAATCTGGATTAATTTTGTAGGTTAAAACTGTTTCACATCACATTAAACAGGTTTTGATCTTTCATTTCCTAGTCAGGATTCACTGCACTCTACTGATCCTCCCATAAATGGACTGCATTTAACATTTCCTCCATTAAAAGTACAGAGAGTTGAATCAGTCCATTTATATTTATTAGAAAATTACTGAGAATTTATAAGCGTATTTTTTTTTTTTAATATAGCATGTTTTTGCCTTTTTAATTCATTTATTATTGTGAAATTGGTGAATATGGATAGAATGAAGCATAGTGAGGAAAAGTGGTCCCTATGTCCTCCAGCAGCCTAGGCCTATAGCAGCATAGCTATGAAGATAGCTCACTCCCTTTTTATTTGTTTCATTTAATTTATTGCCTTTTTCATTTAATCATTAGTTTTTATACCTTTTTTTTTTTTTTTAATCAGTTTGGTAATTTTTTTTTCTATATATATGTATAATTTGTTTTTTGTAAAGTTTTGTTGTTTGTATTATTTTCTGGCTTGCCCTGCTCATTAAAATTTTTAAAATGCTTTTTAAATATTATTTGTATGTGGTTGAATTAATATCTGTAAATTATTTTTATTTATTTATTTTTTAGTTATGACTTATTTAAATCTAATTTCTCTTTTTTTAATATCAGTTTAATATAATGTGATATATCTTAAGCGTTGCATTTAGTTTTTACTTATTTTTGTTTTTAATGGATTAAAAGAAACCCCTTTATGTAAAATTATTTATGTTTTATTATTGCATTTATTTATATTCGATCATTTTCGTCTGTTACCTTTGAGTAATCATGATTATAATGAGGTTTTCTACTTTTATTCATCTGTTGAACTCTTCTCTATCCTGATTGTGGTTAAAAAGGCTTGATGGTTCTCAGTTTTACTTCATCAAACTCAGCTTTCTTCTTTTATATTAAAATGTTTTAGTTAAATAATGATGGAAACATTATTCTACAGCTTTAGCCTAAGTTATTATTATTATTTTTTTGCTTTATATCTTAATTGTGTGTCTTTCTGTTCCAGGTACACTAAGCTCGGCTATGCAGGAAACACAGAACCTCAGTTCATCATCCCTTCATGTGAGCATCAATAAGCTGCTATAATCATCGTCTGTTTCTATTACTATTGTTGCTAACGGCACGGCTAACGTTCTGCAGGTATTGCGATCAAAGAATCTGCGAAGGTCGGTGACCAGGCGCAGCGTAGGATGATGAAGGGCGTCGATGACCTGGACTTCTACATCGGGGACGAAGCCATCGATAAACCTTCATATGCGACTAAGGTGAGTCGGTGCGGAGGCTGCAGGCAGTGCCGCCTTTGATGGAGCTTCAGCGTTGATGGTTTGGTTTTCTGTCGTTCCTCTCAGTGGCCGATCCGTCATGGCATAGTGGAGGACTGGGACCTGATGGAGAGGTTCATGGAGCAGGTCATCTTCAAGTATCTGCGGGCAGAGCCTGAAGATCACTACTTCCTGCTGGTGAGGAGGGCTTGATCTTTCTTAGAGGGAACAGAAAGTGCCTGAAAGGGGAAAAGTTTCTATTTTCCTTTATTTTTCATGTTTCTTCTCTTTCTTTTTTTACTTTTAAAAATGTTTTCTTTACTTTACTACAAATTACATAACCTAAGAGGCATTAATGCTGATACTGGCACTTACATTTTTTTAGTTTATAAAGCTAAACATAATTGTTAACTAGGCTTATTAACTTTTTAACTTTACTTTTTAACTTTTCAATGAGCTTTTCACCTTTTTTTCTTTACTTTTTTTTAGCTTAATAAAAAAATGTATACCTTTTTGGTTTACTGTATTTGAATTACTTTTTTCTTTTATTTTTTTATCTAACATATTTCTTACTTTTGCTTACTTATTTAGACTTTTTTTTACTTCACTAACTTTTAAACTTTCTTAACTTATTTTTTTTTGCTTAAATTTTTTTATTTTTATTTAAACTTAGTGTTTTTAACTTCTTTTTAAATAATTTTTTCTTAATCTTTTTTTACGTATTTCTTTTACTTTTGTCTTTTTGTACTTGACTTTAACTGAATTTTCTTTTTCTTTTTTTTAACTTAATTTTTACTTATTTCTTTTACCTATTTTTTACTTTTCACTTAATTTACTTTGACTTTTTAACTGAAGTTTTTCTTAATTTTTTTATACTTTTTTAAAATTTTTTCTTTGTTCTTAGGCTCTGACATATTTTACACTTATTGTTTCTTTGATCAACATAAGATAAATGTTTCTCTATCCATTCTTCTTTCTCTAAGTTTGCCCAATTAGCCATCAACTATAATAAAAAAGAAAGAAGTCAGACTTGGGGAACAAACTGAAGTGTAAATAGCTCCCTCTGCTGGTCAGAAGCAGCAGGTTCCGCTCAGATAAATGGATTTCCCCTCATGGTTCTGCTCCTCTGTGCAGACGGAGCCTCCGCTTAACACCCCTGAGAACCGGGAGTACACGGCCGAGATCATGTTCGAGTCCTTCAACGTCCCGGGACTCTACATCGCCGTTCAGGTGAGGCTCATGCCCAATAGAGGAACTGTGGACAGAATTAGATCTGACTCATGTTATCAGAGTAGAAGAGGAACTTCCTTCAGGAAGTTTCTGCTTTCGCTTCTTCTTTCTAAAGTTAACAGAAGCGTCTGATTTATATCTCTGCCTTTAAAAAATGATAAAATAAATCATTCTGACTGTGTGAAACGTGTCACAGGCGGTCCTGGCGCTGGCTGCCTCCTGGACGTCCCGGCAGGTCGGAGAGCGGACGCTGACGGGGACAGTCATCGACAGCGGAGACGGTGTGACTCATGTCATCCCAGTGGTAGGTGTCGGTTCCGCTGTCTTGCCGCTCCTTCCTTTTTTAGCCTCTCAGTTTCGTGTTTCGCCCTCCAGGCTGAGGGCTACGTCATCGGCAGCTGCATCAAGCACATCCCCATCGCCGGGCGGGACATCACCTACTTCACCCAGCAGCTGCTGAGGGAGCGGGAGGTGGGGATTCCTCCTGAGCAGTCGCTGGAAACGGCCAAGGCAGTTAAGGTCTGTTACTGGAGAACAATGAAAATCTGATGGTGGGCGTAGAGGATTGTCAAAAATAATAACCTGCTCCGATCTTATTGTCCTTCCTGCGATCCGTAGGAGCGTTTCAGCTATGTCTGCCCGGATCTCGTCAAGGAGTTTAACAAATACGACACAGACGGCTCCAAGTGGATCAAACAGTACACCGGGGTGAACGCCATCACCAAGAAGGAGTTCACCATCGACGTGGGATACGAGCGCTTCCTGGGCCCGGAGATCTTCTTCCACCCAGAGGTGCGGCCCCCCCGCAGAGCTCGCTCCCGCTTTACAGCCCACGTCATACCTTTTAACCCTGTTTTTATTCCTTTTTTCTCCCTGGTTCCAGTTCGCCAACCCGGACTTCACCCAGCCCATCTCCGAGGTGGTGGACGAAGTCATCCAGAACTGCCCCATCGATGTCAGACGTCCTCTTTACAAGGTAGCCTTTAGTTTTCAGCACGGCAGCAGAAGAATCATGATATGGGCTGGTGTTGCGTCATTTCTCCTTATGTTCTCCCCCTTTGCGATGCAGAATGTGGTTCTGTCTGGAGGCTCCACCATGTTCAGGGACTTTGGCCGACGCCTGCAGAGAGACCTGAAGAGAACTGTAGACGCCCGGCTGAAGATCAGCGAGGAGCTCAGCGGCGGCAAGCTGAAGGTAAGGCGTCCCCGTCAAAGCCGATATTCTGCTGATTAACCAAACTCCCCCATGCTGACATAAGTCGCTTTGGATTGCAGCCGAAGCCCATTGACGTGCAGGTCGTCACCCACCACATGCAGAGGTACGCCGTGTGGTTCGGAGGATCCATGTTGGCGTCCACAGTGAGTATCCTTCCTCTTTCCCACCGCTTCTTGTTTGGTTTATGTTACAGAGTATCAGACTTTTATTTTATTTACCTAAATTGATACCATGAGAAGAATAAAGTCATAATATTAAGTTGTCTATGTGTGTAATATCAGACTAAAGTTGTAATGTGAGACAAAGATTTATATTTTAATAACACAAAGACTTCAAGGAGTTATCAGCGGTGCTTTCTTGTAAGAGTTAGCATTAAAGTAGACTACCTCTTTAATCTCACCAAATCACATCAGTCTTGTTATATTACAACTTTATTTTATTAAAGTTACTTAATTCAGGTACGATTTAAGTATAGTACTTTTATAACTTTATTCAGGTAAGATTTTAACATAAGAATCGTGTGACTCTAACTACTTAATGTTATGACTATGATAATGTTACAACTTTAACCTTGCAATGCTACGACTGCTTCATTCTCATAAAACTTAAATCTTGTATTATTTCTAATTAAACTTCAGATTTTAAGACTCAAGTCTCTTAATGGTACGTCTTCAATTTCGAGCTTTACCACTCTCCCAATTCTACGACTTTAACCTCATAAAACATCAATCTTTTATTATTTTGACTTAAAGATTTTGGGACTTAAGATTTAAACACTTAAATCTCATAATAGTACAACTTTAATTTTGAGCTGTACCACTACAATATCCCAGTGTTACCGCTTTCACTTTACAATATTTCGACTTTAACCTCGCAATGTTAGGCCTTTAACCGTTATGACCTTACTTTGCATCGTCAGGGCTGTAACTATGCATCGCCAGTTACCTGTAACCGTGCATCGTCACGGCTTTAACCGTGCATCGTCACGGCTTTAACCGTGCATCGTCACTGCTTTAACCGTGCATCGCCAGGGCTGTAACAGCATCTTCAGTTACCCGTAACTGTGCGTCGTCACGGCATTAACCGTGCATCGTCACGGCTTTAACCGTGCAACGTCACGGCTTTAACCGTGCATCGTCACGGCTGTAACCGTGCCGGCTGTAACCGTGCGTCGTCAGGGCTGCAACCGTGCGTCGTCAGGGCTGCAACCGTGCGTCGTCAGGGCTGCAACCGTGCGTCGTCAGGGCTGCAACCGTGCGTCGTCAGGGCTGCAACCGTGCGTCGTCACGGCTTTAACCGTGCATCGTCACGGCTTTAACCGTGCATCGTCACGGCTTTAACCGTGCATCGCCAAGGCTGTAACCGTGCCGGCTGTAACCGTGCGTCGTCAGGGCTGTAACCGTGCGTCGTCAGGGCTGCAACCGTGCGTCGTCAGGGCTGCAACCGTGCGTCGTCACGGCTTTAACCGTGCATCGTCACGGCTTTAACCGTGCATCGCCAAGGCTGTAACCGTGCCGGCTGTAACCGTGCGTCGTCAGGGCTGCAACCGTGCGTCGTCAGGGCTGCAACCGTGCGTCGTCAGGGCTGCAACCGTGCGTCGTCAGGGCTGCAACCGTGCGTCGTCAGGGCTGCAACCGTGCGTCGTCAGGGCTGCAACCGTACGTCGTCAGGGCTGCAACCGTGCGTCGTCAGGGCTGCAACCGTGCGTCGTCAGGGCTGCAACCGTGCGTCGTCAGGGCTGCAACCGTGCGTCGTCAGGGCTGCAACCGTGCGTCGTCACGGCTGCAACCGTGCGTCGTCAGTTACCCATAACCCTGCATTGTCACGGCTTTAACTTTGCATCAACACGGCTTTAACCGCGAAATTGCAATGTTACACTTACAAGATTGCGTAAAATGTTATGCCTTTTAATATTGCGTTTTTCAAGAAACCGATTAGTTTAGTTTACGGAATTAAAACAAATCTGTTAGTATGGCCTTAAGACTCTGTAAGTTTGAACCGAACCCCAGCAGAGAGACGGGTGGAGTTACATTTTTAAAATCTATTTGTTTGTCTCTGCAGCCGGAGTTTTACCAAGTGTGCCACACCAAAAAGGACTACGAGGAGATCGGGCCGAGCATCTGTCGCCACAACCCAGTGTTTGGAGTAATGTCTTAAATGACTTCTGGATAAAAATAAGTTGAAAAAAATGGGGAGGAAGAGCCTTCGCACGACACAGCCAGAGGCGACTGAACATTTGAGGGAAAAAAGAGGCGACTCATCTTGAAAGATCCTTGTACAAACAAACAAAAAAAGCGTTAAAGAAAAAGTGAAAATTTCTGCGTGCCTCGTACTTGTTTATCCTCACAGGGTTGTAACTAATCACCATTCGTCCTCTCAGTGTCCATGGCGTTTTGGGTTGTTTGCTCCATTGTGTTTTCTCTAGGTTGTCATGGAAAGATTTTGCATCAAACACCTAAATCCATTCCTTTTTTTTATTTTATTTTGTCCCTTTGAAAAAACAAAAAGAAACTTTAAGATAATCAGAAATGTGTTCTAATAATGCATATGTTTTGTATCGGCATTAATCACCTGTTAGAGAGAGAGAAGAAAAATGCTGTAATAATATATGAAGATGCAGTTTGTACGACTGTTTATGGACCATCACTGTTGCCTAGATCTCAGTAATACTGGATAGCCTTGTACTGTATGAAAATCTGGATTTACAAATAATGTGGCATCCAATAAATGCCAAGCAGGTGTTTCTAGCTGTGGTTGTCTTTCTCTCGGGCTGGAATTAGAATGTCTGGTCTATTCCTGACAGGGAAACCCCCCCTCATCCCGTAACCGGACTCTGTCATGGACCCGATCTGGCCAAAGAGAAGAAAGTTCTCAACATGGTTTAAACACACCATTTACAACAAAATCTTTAAAACATGGTGTTAAATTGGGATTAAAGCCACCAGCAGAGGGAGACATACCTCCTGCAGACAGATTGAAGGTTCTCCTCTTCCTGGTGTTGTTCTTTGGTGCAACTGGAGTTTTATCTCTTGCTTTCATGCAGTACAGAGTAATAATACTTTATATTTATACAAATCCCAATGTGCTGCATAGTAAAACAGGTAAGTAAAATCACATGGAGAGCATGAGTTCTGGCTGATGGCCACAGAATCCTGCAGCTGGATGGATGAGGGAAACATGAAGAAATAACTGACAGGTAAATTAAAATTTATTGATAATCCCTGATAGACAATTAGTAAAATGGTCATAAAACTAGAGTAAATAAAAGCTTCTACTTAGAATTATTTGTAATTTTATTTATTAATAATTTAATGAAAAGTGAGTTATTGATAACACAGGTCTGTAGTTTTTGAGTTCGTCTCAATTTTTGGGGGAAAAAAACACATTTTACGTTCTTTTAAAGTTGGTCAAATTTTTTTTTTTTTCCAAAAATCTTTTAATGAGGAGGCATTAATGCTTCTAAAACATGTTTTTCCTTTAGTGTTCCGAAATGGAGAAATTTCAGAGCTACACTACTAACGTAACAGGCAGGAAGAAACTGATTTTATACCAAATAATGCTGGTTTTACAGCAATTTAAACACAGAAGCTGAGGCTCTACCTAACATGGTGGAGTCTTCTGGAAAAATGTTTCAGGACGCAGAAAGGTTGTTACCGTGCCCATCGTGTATGGTATCATTCTGAAACTTTCAAACAGCCTAATCTACTTTTTTGGCAGGTGTCAAAATGTTCATGTGTAAAGAAGGTTCTAGAAATTTACTCCCTGATATAACTAAGTGCTTTTACGCACAGTTAGCTTTAAGCAACATTAGCTTTACACACTGCTAGCTTTATGAACCATTAGCTGAAATGGGGTTCTACCCTACTGCCAGTAGCTAATTATTTTGGTTTTGAATTTGGAAATTATAGTAATTAGAACTTTCGTATTTTTGTTTAATTGTAGTTTTATAGTAAATAGTGCATACTCTAACAAAAGAAACAGCTAAAATATAGATAAACGTGGAATAGTTTAAAGTTCACTGGTCTGAAAGTTCAGTCCCTGCCCAGAGGATGAGGTTTGTTCCGGCCGGTTGGCTGGCAGAAAGATGCAGCGGGCGCCGCCCAGGGGGTCCCAGGCACCGAAGTCCCAGAGGAAGGCAGAATAATCCAGAGGGCGAGCCAAAGCCGGTATTGAGGACGTGCTCAGAAGTCAAAGCCAGGAGATCAGGGATCCGAAGAGGTACCGAAGGGAAATCAATGACCGTTTCACAGGAAGAATCCAGTGAGAGACTTCATTTTGCTTTTGTGGCTTTAAAGAAGCACAGGACAGCTGCATAGCATCTGTTTTTAAACCGTTTTGTTTTTTGGTTTAATTGTCAGCAAATCAGCTGTCATCAAAGATTGGCCAACCAGCTTGTCTTTTCCAGTTTCCTGTTAACAACCTGGCCTGAACAGAGATCAGCAGTTTACCTGAAGAGCCCTACAAACAGCCCTCGGCCATCGGTCCGTAGAATTAGACAGGACTCAGCAACATAGGGATACATTCTCATAAAGTCTTTCATTTCTCTCAGTATTTAAGACTTTCTGGCGCATCTTCCAGGTGTGATGGCTGTCCTTATTGGTGGTCTCCTTGCTCCTCTATAGGGCAGGTGGAGCACTTCAGGTTTGTGGTGGTAAGAAGGTCAGATGCGCTCCAAATACTTAGGCTATAATAAATAAAATTATTTATTTCTGTAACTAAATCAGTTTATTTAGAATCATTAGAGTAAAATCTTTAATCATCCTCAAATAAAAAAAAGAGTCTGTTTATATGGAGCTATATCACACTGTAATTGGAAAGTTTAGAGGTAGGACAAACTTCTTAGTTTCAAGTCAGCCGCCGGCATGTTTACTTTCTAATGAAACATTATAGTATTACTAAAGTGTTTATAAGCTTTGACTAAACTGTTTGTTATTTATGTTGTTGCTAAGTGTTTTTAAAGTCGTAGGAAAGCGGCTGTTCCAACCTTTTCATTTCCGAATTCTCCCGAGAGGCGCCCGACTTTACACGAGTGTATAAAGTGAATGTGATTGGTCGTTCATCAAGGGGGCGGGATTGTTGTGGCGGAAGGTTTGCTTGTGGCCGGTTTGTCGGAAGCATCTTGCTAACCAGTTAGCAACTTATTGCTAGTTCAATTCAGTTTATTTATATAGCGCCAATTCACAACACATGTCATCTCAAGGCACTTTACAGTTCAACCAGATCATACAGTGAAATTGATTCAAAGTTTTCTATCTAAGGAAAACCAGTTGATTGGATCGACTTATTGACTCGGACGGCATACCTCACACTAAGAATGCTTGTAGCGACAGTGGAGAGGAAAAACTCCCTTTTAACAGGAAGAAACCTCCAGCAGAAACAGGCAAGTAGGTTCCCGATGGGAAATTAAAGTAGCACTTAGCAACAACAATGTCAAGGAACGCTATGGACAGCGGAAACATGCAAGAGGAGGAGACGTATAACTAAATGAACTGCATAAGATAACAGAAAAAAAAGACACAGGTTTTAGGATGGGATTTTTTTTAAATAGAAATTTTTTTAACTTTTGGGACAATATCGTCTGATAAAGAGTACGTTTATATACATGTTTAAGCCAGAATGATTTGACATTTAAATATAACTTCCCTATGAGTTGAAAGGCATGAAAGAGGATTCTGTGGTGGAAGATATGCAAAAAGTTGAAAAAGGAATTTTTTCTTTAAATCAATCGTCTCAATTAAAATAATAGGATTTAAAAATACATTTTTGAGGATAGATTTAGATTTTTTTCTTTATTTGTCTGTTGGCAGCAGCAAAATGGATGCACATTGTAGAAGAAATTCACATTATGGAAAGACTCACTTTTATAATAAGGTTGCCAGAAAAAAAATTTGAAGACCAGTTGTTTTTTGTAAGTTGTTCTGGTTGATACCTTATATAAAAATAATAAAAAAAAATAAGTAAAAAAAAAAATAAATAAAGTTCCAAGTTGCAGTATTTGATAGTGGATTATTAAACATGATTAACAATTTGTCTTTAATATTTTGTCGTAAAATGGACAATTGCAAATCCAATTTTAATTGGAATTCGTATGATTTAAACATCAAATTTTAAATATTTTATTTTTCAAGGACTCTCCAGGTCGTCCATAAATGGGACAAGCTGCTCTTTGCCTTGTGTCCAAAATTGTAAGAAATACTTTTAGAAAAATCCAAGTAAAAATTTTTTTTACTTTTAATATTTACTGGAGTAAAGTGAAGGAAACTAATGTCAAACCTGCCTCCAGCTCCATCATCTGCAAAAAGAACATTTAGAAGTAAATTATCAAAGACAATATTTTGAGCCTGAGAACACAATAAAATATGTTAAAGGTGTGAGTTTGAAGGCATTCTTTTTGTTTAAAAAAAACAAACAAGACATGTTTCCGGTTGAAAAAACAAAAGCAGTTCAAGGACAAGCTTCCAACTCCATCATCTGCAAAAGATCAGCTAAAAAATATATAAAAAGTTAATGTCAGCTCAGAGTTATGCTTTGCTATCTGTGCACGAAGAATCGTCTTGTCATTTAATACAAAAACAAGCGAGCTTTGAACATCACGCGCTCTTCGTCCCAACTAATAATAGTACAAAACTTGTTCTTTCTTCTTAAGACGGAGAAGAAAACATTACCCGCTGAGCCTCGGAAACAACTGCAGGTTTCCAGCCCAGACGGAGCGAGGACAAAAGCCTCTTAATCGACACAGTGACAAAACACGACAAACGGAACACGAGATGGGGTTTGAATTAAAGCACGGCGTGGCAGGGGTTGGGTGCAAGCAGTGCTCGCTAAAACAACAAGATGTCTGAGTTCTATCAGCTGAAAAAGACAAAAGATGTTGTCATGTTGTGATGGCTTTGGTTTTCTATTGTCTGTATTTTTTGATTTGTGTTCTTGGATGTTGAAAAAATAAAATCGCAATGGTTTGTTTTTTCTTTGTGATTGTGTTTGCTGGTCGTCTTGATGATGTATGTGATGTGGCTCCATGTCCTGTCCTGCAGTTTGCCCATCGGAGATTCTTCAGCTTCACTTTCTACCGCCTCAGCATCCAGCATGGTCCATCTTTCCTGCAAAAACGATCTAGAAATAAGTAAAAATGTCTTAAATTAGGTGTGTTCACCCTTAATTTGAGCAGGTAAATGAGATAGTTTGCCAATGGAATTAGTAATTTTACTCTTAAAATATGATAATTAGATAATATGCAAATAAGACAGTGCAATTGTGTTTTCTTATTTTAAGTCTAAATTATCTTGTTCTATTGGCAAAATGTCTCTTTTACCTCCTCAATTCAAGAACAAATGCACTTATTTTAAGAAAAAATTACTTATCTAGATTCAGATTTTTTGCAGTGTCTTCTTCTTCCTGCTGGAAGGTCTCCTAAATATCATTACAGGCCGTAGCGTTCAAGGGACGCACCCAGACAAAACGAACCAAATCCCATCAGAAAACAAGTTATGATTGCAAATTAAACTCTTTCTGCAGCCTGAGTGTCTCCTGATACTCTTACCTTAGAAGTATGGAGTGAATTTTGTTCCTTTATTCCTGCAGGCAAAGAAGATTTTTTTCTAAAGGGAAATAAAAAAGTACAAAGTATTTTATATGTATTATATAATATATATGTATTATATAATTATATTATAATTATATGTATTATATAATATATATAGAACCCATGCATGCACGAGGAGAAGATGCAAACTCCATGCAGAAAGAC